GGCGATTCAGACCTAGCAACGTACCTTTTTTTTTGTTGCGCCAAATGCCGTAATTTGAAAGCAATTATTGTATTTCTGGATATGAGTAAAAAAATGTATAGAATCTGGCCCATTTCCGGAAACCTAAAGAATATAGTGGTTCTGGTGGCGGTACCAATGGCGTCAATTTCACTTGGCCACTGTTGCAACACAATCCCTGGGCGTCAGTTTTAATCTTAGAAGCCTTGCAATGTGGACACACAAAGTTCTTTGGTCTAATAGTAATGATTGACTATGAAAACTGTAATCGATTGCTACGTTATAATTAAATGTAACTCGATAGGGATCAAAGGGGACATTTCTGCGTTGTTCATATCGATTCCGTTAACTTCGTTTCGCGTTTCGCTTTTCTCGTCAGTTTGACTTAAGTACTCGTATATATGTTTGACTTGTAGGATTACGAATTGTACTTAAGTTGGTACCATAGTTGGTACGTCTAATTAGTAGCATCTAAAAAAAACTAAAATTCAACTGAAAATAGAAATTGACTCCCTTCCCTTCTATATAACTATGTATTTTATAGGGTTGCCATCCGTCCGGGTTTCCCCGGATTTGTCCTAGTTTAGGGGGCGTCCGGGGAGCGTCCGAGCGGGGTTTCATTGGTAGTCCGGGTTTTAGGCTACTAAGACATCTAGTTTCTGTCAGAATTTAAGCCAACAAGATAAACTTTTAAAAGCGCCAGTCAGCTTTGGTTACAATTCTTTAAAACACCGAATCCTCATTTATACTTGGGGTTATTGGAAATTGCCTAGTGCTTTTTTTGCATTCCTGCTCATAATGCCAACGTTGAAAGAATATTTTCACTAGTGGCATAACAGTGGACCAAAGAAAGGAATTTATTGAATATTGAAACAGTCAATGATAAAAATAAATTAAACAAATATAGCAAACGAGCTCCTGGGTATGGCTATAGCATGTGCAATACCAAATTTTAAACCTGATGTTAGTTTTGCTTTTATTTAAAGTGTATATGTATGAAATTTCATTTAATTGCTTCCATAAGTAAGAAAGTTGGCACTGCACATCCTACACAAAACCAAATTTGGAAAATGGCGCTACATTTGCTTTTAATCCAAGTGGCTATGTATCAAATTTCATTTGAATGCCTCCATAAATAAGAAAGTTTGCACTGCGCATGCGCAAAACCAAATTTTGAAACTGGCGTTAAATTTGCTTTTATTCCAAGTGGCTATAGGTATGTATCAAATTTCATTTAAATAACTTCATAATTAAGAAAGTTTGCAATTCGGTCTGTAAATGGTCGAGATGCGCAAAGGGCACTGTGAATACTGATCGATTAGGCTCAACTTTTCGAATTGTGTTTTGTATGGCTAAAGCTATGCGCATATTGAATTTCATGCAATTCGGTTCATAACGGAGATGTCAAAAGGGCCTACTTTATTTTTTGGTCAATTCACGAACTGCGATCTACAAATTTGATAAAGAATCCACCTGCAAAATTTCATCGTAATCGGTCCATTCGTTTATGAGTTATCGTGCTAACGGACGGACGGACGGACAGACACCGCAAAATTATAAACTCGCTAGGCGCTCGTTAATAAAGTACAATTTCAAATACTATTTCTTTAGACAATATTTTTTATCAAATTCAGTTGATATGTCTGGGTTTATAATGCCTAAATGCGGGGTTTTCACGCTTCCTGTCCTAGTTGGCAGAGTTTTGAGATGGCAACCCTATATGTATATCACGTGTTTAGTCTATCAACATTCAACACTTACCAAAAATGGATATTAGGTATACCAAACTTTTAATATAAAAGGCGTGATTGCGGTAAAATAACCTCGAAACTTCTCAAAAAACTCACTGAAATCTGGATAAACTATCCGATCGAATTAACAGCACACTATGATATGAATAAATTAATTTTTTGACAGATATATACCGATCCATTGCAGATCGATGTAGCTGTTAAAACAATTGCCGTCGCACCCTCAAACGCGCGATGTTTAAATAGTCGATAAGTTTTCTCCAATTTTCCAATTTTCTGCGCGATTTTCTTAGTTTTTCTTGCCATAAGAACCTTCTACACAGTATTAGAAAACTTAAAAAAAAAAGATGAATGAAATCGGTAAAGTCGTTCTAAAGTTATTGCGTGACCAGGAAAAACAGGGGTTCATTTTTATATATAGAGATATTAAGGTATAATCATGTATTATCATCTAATGCTAATGCGTACATTATTTATCATTCCATAACATTTTTTCTCCTTCTACTTGTGCTCGAACATTGAGAACGCTCAACGATCTTTCTATCGATCTAAATATAGGGTGTGATTGATTTTGCGTGTCCAAGCATATAACGGGCGATCAAAAATGAGTTGTTGTCGAGTCGCCTTTGGAAGTTCAAATTAAGTACGATTTTCCATGTAAACAAAAATTCCAAAGGTGACTCGACAGCAACTCATTTTTTAACGAATAGTATTTCTTTATTATTGGAGATATGCAAAAAAACCAGTGATATAAAACCAAAAGAGCATCAGAAAACAAATTATTTTTTTAAAATAGAAAGATTACTTTTTTCTGTAATGTCTTAAAGAGTTTGAAATTCTCTTTACAATGATATCAAATATGTTATAATTACCTTAGGAATTAAATCTACAGTGATGTGTTTAGAACACGAACTTATAAATTAAGAAAGTTCCTGGTTTAGAACCAATCGCAGTAGCTGATGTGGAAATTTAAACAAAAACATAAAATGTACGTATACAACAGAACAGGAAGCGAACAAGTGAACAGCAGGTACAGGAATAATTATTATAACTTAAGACAAATTTAAACACACTGGACTTGCCTCCTATGTATTATCATTACATTGCACCTCTTATCCAATCATTTGTGTAATTATTATTTTATTGCATTCTGGTTCTTATAATACTTATGTATAAGTTATATGGTTCACTAAACTGATTTTGTGACAGACATGGCAAGTGAAAAACTCTTTGTTTTTGTTTAAATTTCCACAGTTATTGCGATTGGTTTTAAAAACATTACTGGAGCTTTAATTTCTAAGGTAATTATAACATATTTGACATCATTGTAAAGGGAATTTCAAGCTCTTTAAGAACATTAAAGAAAAAAGTAACCGTTCTATTTTAAAAAAAAATTGTTTTCTGATGCTCCAATAATAAAAGAAATATACGCTTATACACGCAAAATCAATCACACTGTATATTTAGACCGATAGAAAAATCGTTGAGCGTTCTCAATATAGGTAGGCTTGCATGTTCACTCTAGAATAGTAGAAACACAAGTGCCCAGAATCAGTGGAGGTTTTTGGAAAAAAAAAACATTCAGCTATGTACCAGTCACAAGCTTCCCTGGAGAGGTTTAATGGACCCTGGTACCAAGAAAGTGTTTGATAGTTGGAAATATCCACAAACTATAGAATAGGATGCCAAAAAAATCTTATTACAGTATCCTTAAAAATTAAAATGAAGGATGGTATCAAAACGTCTTTCGATAGCATGTTACATTCCAGGTTGTGTATCAGTATCTACGAAGCGTCAGAAGTAGGTGCCGATAAAGGGAATTGGTAGACTTCAACAAGATCTTATTGATGGTGCACACAAAACTGGCTAAAAGAATACTTTTTTGCCAGATAAAGATGCACTGAAATCCCTTTGGTCTTGCACGATGACTTTGATAATTTTTTTTATCTAATATAGTTCAACACTCAACACAATTTTTGCACATAACTCAAGGACCAGTACTATAGAACTTAAACAGTGATAGCAATATGCCACCTGCGCATCTGTTAAGATTTGTTTGTGATCGATGTGCGGACAAATCCGTCCTGTATGCATGTAGGTGGCAATAAAGTCTTTGCAAAATTGACGTCGTTCCTGGAATGAAAACTTATAAGGATTGGATGCGGAGCTCATACACTAACTCAAAACGCCATCAAAACTGCAACCTGTCTGAATATTTTGAAGTAGTTCTTTGAACATTTCAACTCCGAAATTTGATTGCTTTTTCTACACTGTACCTTTCACTACTAAGGCGTTAAAATTAAGGGACAAAGCATACCAGCAATTGAGGCTGTTAAGGAATAAATGGTCTAAAGCTGCGTATACATTATCCGAACCGAACGTGTAGGTGTAATGTAGTACATGTAAAGTGTTTATAGCGTGCCCGAATCGATCGGAGCACAAAACGGATACGTAATTATGCGTTCGTCCTCGTTCTGTCAAAAGTGAACGAGCCACGAACGCTGCATTACATTACATGTTCGGTTCGGATAATGTATACAGTATACGCATCTTAAAGGACAATTTGACCATGAGACAAAAAGTCAATTTTTCTTTCTCCATTTCGCTGGTAATTTATTGAAGAAACTTCAAAGAAGTTGGTGTTGATATAGTACATGGACTGCTATTAGCCCTATACCATTGAATTTATAACTTACTTTCAATACAAAATGGGTGGTCACGGATAGAGGGCACCGTAGTCTCAGGGTAAACTAAAGTCGTGTAGACACCACTCGGATCGCGTAAAGAGTAGCTTTTATAGTAACCGTGTAGTACGGGAAGTTTTAAATACTCGATAGCGATGTCCTTAACCATATTTTAGTTACAATTAGCAGTCCATGTACTATATGGTCTAAGACGTGAATACAAAGACCCATTGTTCTAATATCAAAGAGAAACTTCATATTATTGATATTACATTGCGTTCCAGCACCATCAAGATTAAAATTCTTCTATACCATCATTATACAGACTGCTGTAGATTATTTCAAACGGCGACGCAAACTAAATGTTACCAAAATTCATATAGGTCCGCTAGCAACTGGGGCGTTTGTTGTGTTTCCATAATCGCCTATCCCATGATACATCTACTTGATAATATACCGAAACAATTAATTGGCACACAGTCACTTACGCACTCTGTATATTAAATTGATGTGGCACCACTGCACAATTTGTTGTTCAATGCTTTAAGTCATTGGTTTGTTGTTAACTTCACATGATTCAACATATGATTATAATATTATGTTGATGTAATGTAAACTTTTCAATATTATTAAAAAAGTAGTTCAAAATGTCTACTTCAATAGAAATCCCTCTACGGGATACTGACGAGGTAAGTAAATGAATCGTAATAATGTATAAATATAGCATTTCATTAGGTTATCGAACTTTGTGTGGATCAACTTCCGGAAGGAGATGAAGTATTAGGTATATTGAGCCAAGAAAACTCTCAGCTTTTTATTTGGGTTAATCTTGCGGTAAATAGTGAAGTGTCAATTGGTATCCTATCCTCACACGCAATTTTTAGCTTGAATATTACAAGCAAAACAAAATCAATGACTTCATTAAAATACTGGAAGCTTCTCGAGCCGGTGCCAATGTCAACTACCGCGACTTTGAAAAGGACCAAATGCGAGCTCTCGACATGCTGGCAGCATATTATGTTCAAGAGGCAAATCGGGAAAAAAATAAAGATAAGAAAAGGGATTTATTTACTAAGGCTACTCTTCTGTACACCACAGCCGACAAAATTATTATGTATGATCAGGTACATACTTATCGCAATAGCATTTCATTAAATACTAACGGAAATTTGTTAGAATCACTTGCTGGGAAGAGCGTACTTTTGCCTCTTGGAAGGAGATAAAATGGATCAAGCCGATGCTCAATTTAATTTTGTTTTGAATCAGTCGCCAAACAATATACCATCATTGCTAGGGAAAGCTTGCATCGCATACAACAAGAAAGATTTCCGAGGCGCTTTGGCTTTCTATAAAAAAGCTCTTCGCACCAACCCAAATTGTCCAGCAGCTGTTCGCTTAGGTATAAATGACATTCCTTTTTTTATATAATTATGGGTTTTTTTTACATCATATTTGACCAAGTAATGAGTAATTTTCCCTAATGAAATTGTACTTGTACACTGATTCGGTTTTTTTTTTGAGAAATGTGTTGTAATTTTATTCATTACATACCCCAACACAAATTCCAAATTCTTGTCCCATTTGAAAATTTATTTACTGGATCCCTGTGTTCAAAGCGAGGTTCAAAGGTAGTATGAAACATTCCAATGATTTCTAATATTTATTTTAAATATCTTATACATAATATGTGAAGTTAGCTCTGCCCAAGGTTATCCTAGAGCTAGACTCCTTCAACTCACGCCTTACAAAAATATACTGTGCAAGATTTGGATTTCATCCCATAGTGTTTTAAATGCAAACTAACTTTCTAGTACAGCATCAAACTCAAATACTAAAATTTAAATCCATAAAGGTGCATGCGAGCCGAACCATTAGCGAACTGCTGAAAAACTGTTCTTTGAAATTATTTTTACAATGAACTTCCAACGATCCATGGAAAAGCCGAACCAGCCGCAAACTACCAGCAGTCATCGGTCTGTGTACTTCAGTTAAACATATCTTCGCTCGGGAGCGGAAAAAAAACAACGAACTTACACAAACACGTCCCAATATGAACTGCAAAACCCTTTGTGTTCGTAAAAAAAACCAACAGGAAACGGTTCGCCGCAAACCGCTCACAAATCCTGTCTTAATCTAACGAACCAGTTGTTCGCCAGCGGTTCACGAACGGTTCGGCTCGCATATGTATACACACCTTTATAGCAACAAAAGGTTCCTGAAATGTGCAAGAAAAAATTTGGGAAATCTTTTGTTTATACCTATAGGTAACATGATGGTCCAGGATATTGTTTTACAAGGAGGTAATAGTTATTTTTGCGCGATCGGTCATTTCTGACTATTTACCATGTGTGTTTCCATGACAGTACGTAGCATTTACCAGTTGCTATGATTACGACGACGCCAAAATTACTTACCGATCTAAAAACAGAACAGCAAAAATACTTACCGACGCCTTTTTAAAAATCAACAGTCTTACATTACATTTAATCTTTAATTATTGTTAGGTACATTAAACGTACAATTTGTGCTGTTGTTTCCTATAGAAAGACGCTCATAAAGTCATAAAGGAAGTACAAAGCTAGCAAACTACATCAGACACATACACAATTTTATGAAATTATTAATTTCAATTTTGACAAATAAACTGGTAACCTAGTGATGTACACCATACCACTTCGATCATTTCGATTTATTCTACTCGTTAATTTCTTAGTGCATATTTATATTGGTTACATAATTTTAATTTCGATCGCGCAAAAAATTTTATAAGCACGTCGAACGTTAAGGGTTACCGTTCTCAGACAATAATTGGAGTCGTCGCTTCGCTCCTCCTCCAAACAATTGTCTTCGAACGGTAAAAATCCCTTACCGTTCTCCATACTTAATATACTATTATTATACAAGACGATAAAGGGACATTTTAACCATTGAGTGAAAGATGTTAATTCACGAGTGTAACATGTATAATACAAAACTTTATTTTATAGCAGAAGCCATACAAATCATTGTAAAGCTTCTGACATTTCTGAATATAATTTAGAGACGTCAAAAATAGCAACCTTAGGTTCTGCCGTCGCCATGGTTTCCATAAAAACAGAATTGTCATATGTTCTGAACGGCATTTTATATCGTGCATTTGAAATAAGATTGGCAGATGTCATTAGAATGCACAGTCATTTGTTTCAGGTTAACTATCCTTAAGGATAAAGAACGGCTTAGCCTACTCATTCAAACCTGTTAAAATGTCAATTTAACATATGGTAGGTATAAAATAAAATAAAGTAAAGCAATTGTTATAGGAGCTATGACAATAATCTTTTTTATTTAAACAAAGATAAGTAATCTTAACAGGTAATAATAATTATAGGAGTAAATGAATAAAATATTATTTTTTCGCTAATAAATTAAATGTCGCTGCATTCGCTTCTTCCAAAATGTTATCTGGCACAAATACACTATTTTCATCTTCCATTTTCTTGGAAATCTAAACGCGCACACTTTTGCTACAATTATAATTTGTTGACAGATTGTGTCAATTGTTTTACGCAGATCTCATGGGAACCATAACAACGAAAACTACCTACTATGTTTTTTCAGATGCTTAAAAAATAACTATTACCTACACTGTTTCTTTTTATAGTAGAGTTCCCGCGCGCTCAAAAGTGATTTAGAAATCCACTCCGTCAAGCTTTTAAAGGTAAAAAGCATCTAATGATGTTTTTCTGTAGAGTTTGGACTACTAATTAACCCCCTAAATTCGTCTGTTGATACCGATGTCCAAACGGCCCAAAAAAGGAAAAAATTGAATTTTTCAAAAAGTTCTTATTTTTAATTATCTTTACAACGGTGCGTTTTTTTCGTCGTTAGCTCTAATGGTAATGAAAATATAAGGGTTTTTCTCCACGCATTTTACATTGCATATACGACAAGAACGCACACATAATCGTTAGCCATTCGCTTAAACAGTGTTTTGCAAAATGTAACTTTTTAAAATAACGCCATTGCTCTTAGACGAATCAGAATTTTAAAAAAAAGTTTAAATAAAAATTATAGCTGGCAGCTTAACGAATCCAACGACAGCATAGTTTGAAAATATCTTTATAATTAAAGGCACAAGGAGGAAAAATGTATGACGTTGCACGGAGTAGCGGTGGTCGCTTTTCAACCGATTCGATGAGTCCCCTCCTACAAGCAATGTTTTTATTCACTTCAACTTGCGTTAAGTAGACATCTTCTTGTTCATCTCGAACTGAATCTTCTCAAATTGATTTATTTTGATTTTTCTCAATAAGTAATAAATTTAATAACTTATAGAAGTCTTCATCGCTGTGCTATGCTCATCTTTTTGTGTGTCATGTGAAGTGTATTTATTAACAGACACTTTTCCACTACAATCATACAATAAATTGAGCAAGCATGCAGCCACTTAATTTTTTTGTCAGGAACACCGTCACGTTTTACATCCAAAAAGTAATTATTGTTATTGCTTTGTAGACATTTTTGGATTTGCAAATGAAAAATATAATACCTACAAGCAACCTGTTTTAGACGAACTAAAACAAATGGAAATTATATTTTATTTATTTATTTATTTATTTTATTTACTAACAAAACGGGACTTGCCCTTTTACATTGTCAGCAGTCAACGGTTTTGGCTTTAACAACTTAAACAAACAAAAGTAAAAAAACAACAATACTAAAAAAAAAAAAACAAATACCATATATGCAATATCAAAGATGTAACAAGACATTACGGACACTCGTTCAAGTTTCCTGGCTCGTGACCTATTAGATTTTATCATAATAATATGCAATAACTCCTTTTTTAAATAATGTTAAGTTTACATTAAAATATATTAGAATTGGTCTGGTGAATATATGCATTGGTGGTTATGGCTACCCTTATCATTGGCGATTTTAATTTGTGACCGGTTCGATACGTAGGCACATAAAATATACTTTTTGGTCTGGTTTTATGAGCTGGAACATACAGATTCACAAGTGATAGCAAATTAGGACAGTCAATTCTATTATTTATCAATTTGTATGTACATGAAACAAATATCAGCAACTTCTCTCCTATATTTTAACGGCATGATATGATTTTCCTCTCTAACTTCCCGATATTGATCATATTGGGGGTAAGTACCTCTTAAAATGTAGATATTTTAAGAATTTATTTTGAACTGTCTCTATTTTTTTTATGGATTTGTAGACCGGAATTCCAAACTCTACTGCCGTACTCTAATTTAGATCGTACCAGGGAGTTGTAGAGAATTTTTATGGAAACGATATTTTGAAATTCGGAGGTATTACGTATTAGAAACCCTAAATTTTTTAGTGCTGAATTAACAACGTTATTTATATGCTCGTCCCATTTTAAGGTAATTGTAAATTCTACTCCTAAATCCCTAATTACTTTTACAGTTTGCAGTTTTTGTTGGTGCATAGAGTAATCTGCTTCGGTATACCCCTTCTTCGCTGTAGTATACGTCATGCTTTTGCATTTATTGATATTAAAGTAAAGTTTGTTTCTATTACTCCAAGCCACGACACTGTCAACATCAGTTTGAAGTAGTTGCACATCATCAACATTCTTAATTTCTTTAAATATCTTTAAATCATCTGCAAACATTAAACAGCGTGAGTATTTGATATTTAAAGGAAGGTCATTTTATACAAGTCCGGGTATGGTTGTCCGAAGGGGTTTAATTATACCCCTCACATTTAAGTTCCACCCATATTCTTCACAATTAGAGGTATTTAAGATGGGAGTCAAACTGCTTTTCCATATAAAATATTGATAAAATGCTCTTAAGGTGTGCTGTTTTAAGGCTTCAGGTGGAAATTTATATCATTTCCCAGTTTAGACGACAATTTTAATGCTCCCAACACATTTATATTGTAACAACGGGAAATCAGACTTCGAATAGGTACAAAATCATACAATATTTGTGCATCCTTTGAAATAGGGGTTCAATAAAATGCATATGCTCTTACATGGCTCAAGGCTGTCCAACATGAGGGCCGCGGGTCGGATGATACCTAGTTTCTTGCGACCCGTAAAACAAGCACTAAAATGTATGCATTTCCTTCCAATAAAAAATATGCACAATATCACTGATGTGTTGCACACAAAGATGTTATAATGCGACCCTCCAAGTTGAATTTTTCTTAAGAGCCACTTGAAATTGGCCATCCCTGCTCTACATAAAGTAAATCGTAGTTAGTTTTTTTGAAACACTTTCCATGCAGATGCTTTTCCAATTCGGTTGAACTGACTGCAAACATCGCACACATTGATGTAGAGCATATGAATTTTACTGAACCCCTATTTCAAAGGATGCAATAGTTATTTGTATCACAAGTCCAGAAAATGGATGTTTGCGAGTGTGAGTAAGGTTGCAGGCCGAAGCGGAGCTGAGGCCTGCAATACGAATACTCGCAAAACATTTTTATGGACGTGTAATACACAAGATTTTTTGTGTCGAAGTAAAAAATTTGAGGGAAAACGTTCATTTTAAAATTTATATTTCTACCTCGTATAATTATAAGCCGTCATACTTGCATTCAAATTTCCAATATTTCGATGTTATGTTGGTAGCACAGACAGTTGGCAGTTGGTAGCACAAGCATGTCAATTCAGTAATTCACAACCGATATTTACCAGTGTTTATTCATTAATTGTGATTAAATGAATAAACAAAGCATTACGTTAATTTAATTATTATTACAAATTTCTAAAACGCTTAGGGCAGTCGTAAGAAGTTCATAACATTTAAAAGAAGCTGCGCTAAAACTAATAAGTAGTAAGTTGATTTCAATGGGAAACATAACCTTGAAATTTATTTCAATTTCAGCTAGTGCTTGCACCTATTTTGGGAATTGGGTTGCAATATTTTCATTTGCAAATTGATTTATCATATTAATTCCATTACATATAAGAATGATAACAAGTTTGTTTGGATATCTACTTCTCGTTGGCTGTCGATTACGAGGAGAGCAGCAAGAGGGCCGATGATTGCTTCGTGCAAATCTACAATTTGGTGTATGCATGCAGTGTCGTTTGATTATTATGGTCTTACTACACGGAAGTAGGTAACTGATGTCGGAAATTTTCATCATAGATATGAGCATAGATATCGACAAGAAACCGTTTTCATATGCGTACACCTCCTTTTCGGAAACTGTCATCTTCAGAGAAATATACTTGCTTGTAGATATATAATTTATGGAATAATGTATACAGTTTAATGTTAACAATGGCAGAAATAATAATAATTACAAATCATATAGTGTCATTACTCTTCATCCGTTTAGTGTTGTGTTTTTTGACTGCGTTAATTTACATGCGAAACCATTTGTTGGCATTCCTGGCATCGAGTGTGGAAGTAGGTAAACTTCAATTTCCTATATTTTCAATTAGCTCTCTGTTTTTTGTCATAAACCGTAAGTTTACCATCGGTAAACATGTACAAGTGTCATAACCGCACTAAAGGAAAACTTGTAAGTGAAACTTACAATAATTCTTGATTAGGGTACTTACCTACCGCATTTACATATACGTATTACTATGTTACCAAGCCATAAAGTGCTTAAAATGGAATTTGCACAAAAAATATGCCTATCATTCTAACAATTTAATTTAAATTTAGAACTGTCATTGCAAATTAAATCAGTTCCACCAACCAGTTTTTAGTGATATTTTTGCCGGCCTAGGCCAGCAAATCATAACTTTCTGGACTAATTTGGCTACAGAAAACAAAGCTTTGAAGCAGGGAGACACAAAAAAATATTGTACGTTTCAGTTTCAGGTGATCCCAAAGCAAGAAGCTAATTGATACAGAGGATATCCTTAGCGATTTAACGAGGTAATGGTGGTTCCATTCCTCGACAGTGTAGTCTAGATGAAATATTATATCTTTAATTAATATCCTTGTTATAATATTCTTATTCTTAATTTTTATTATTTAAAAACAAATGTAGGATTTTGTATATGTGTAGTCGCAGTCTATTTCGATTTCCCGTTGTTACAATATAAACGAGTTGCCAGCAAAATTGTGGTCCAAACTGCGCAATAATAAACTTCCACCTACAAGTACAACTGACTGTGGGGTATAATTAAACCCCTTCGGACAACCAGATACCCGGACTTGTATAAAAATAATTTCCATTTGTTTTAGTTCGTCTAAAACAGGTTGTTTGTAGGTATTATATTTTTCATTTGCAAATCCAAAAATGTCTACAAAGCAATAACAGTAATTACTTTTTTGATGTAAAACGGGACGGTGTTCCTGGTAAAAAAATTAAGTGGCTGCATGCTTGCTCAATTTATTGTATGATTGTAGTGGAAAAGTGTCTGTTAATAAATACACTTCACATGACACACAAAAAGATGAGCATAGCACAGCGATGAAGACTTCTATAAGTTATTAAATTTATTACTTATTGAGAAAAATCAAAATAAATCAATTTGAAAAGATTCAGTTCGAGATGAACAAGAAGATGTCTACTTAACGCAAGTTGAAGTGAATAAAAACATTGCTTGTAGGAGGGGACTCATCGAATCGGTTGAAAAGCGACCACCGCTACTCCGTGCAACGTCATACATTTTTCCTCCTTGTGCCTTTAATTATAAAGATATTTTCAAACTATACCCCTCGTTGGATTCGTTAAGCTGCCAGCTATAATTTTTATTTAAACTTTTTTTTTTAAATTCTGATTCGTCTAAGAGCAATGGTGTTATAAACGATATTTTAAAAAGTTACATTTTGCAAAACACTGTTTAAGCGAATGGCTAACGATTATGTGTGCGTTCTTGCCGTATATGCAATGTAAAATACGTTGAGAAAAACCCTTATATTTTCATTACCATTAGAGCTAACGACAAAAAAAACGCACCGTTGTAAAGATAATTAAAAATAAGAACTTTTTGAAAAAATCCATTTTTTCCTTTTTTGGGCCGTTTGGACATCGGTATCAACAGACGAATTTAGGGGACTAATTAGTAGTCCAAACTCTACAGAAAAACATCATTAGATGCGTTTTACCTTTAAAAGCTTGACGGAGGAACCAATTGGGTTATCACAAAACTCTACTATTAAATTTTTATTAGTAACAGGATTGAACAAAACGCTATACAGCACTCGTGGAAAACTAAATCACTCACTTGTGTGTCGTTCCACACTCGGCTACGCCTCGTGTGTAATCTCGACACACGCGTGAGTGGAACTTTTAGTTTCTCCACTTGTACTGTAATATACTATTAGTCAGTAAACAGATGATAAACAGAGAGGCAAAGATTGCATTACATGAGATCTAAAGGTAGACACAGATACACAGTGTTTCATCAATGTTTGGACTGTGCAGTCCAATCCCCGAGATTTCCTCACTTTGTGTACTGTAAACCAGTGGCGGCTCGTAAGCTGCGTAGAAGGTAGTGCCAAATTGTGTCCCCTTCCCCATTATTTTAATAGTTACAAATTTTTGTTTTCATATTATTCCAGTTATTTAGATTTTGAGTATAATTCGAATATTTTTATTTATTTGTACTATCCGTTTCCATGGCGTTTAGTCTGATCTATAAACAATAGCAACATTTTATTTGCAGTTTTATTAATGAGGCCGAAGTATCATTTTCAACAATAGTTGTACAAATAACTATTCAAATCTTTATCTAAACAAGTACTGAAATTTATTAATTCTTTCAATACCTACTCCTTTATTTTCGGATTTATCGCTATTGTCGAGTTCAGACACATTTCGTTTTTTAACAATATTTAAGTCCGGTAACGGCCTGCTTAATTGCTTTATTTAAAGTCTATTTTCCAGAGAATGCATGGAAAAAGGTTTATTTAAATGATTTTTTAATTTGTGTATTTTACGTAACAATTAATCCGGGAAGTGTAATCTTACACAGAAGTAAAAAAAAATTGTTTGACTTATCACGACTGAAACAAGGAAAACGGCGCAAAGCATAGTAATACACGTACACCTTATTCAATTGTGCTTATGAGCCAAACTTCTGATGGCTCAAGTTGTACGTATAAAACGCTACTTCGGTTTCGCTCCTCCCACCCCTCTACTCCCCGCGGAAGTCCACACTTGTAGGAAAATACGAGCCAGTTTCAGTTTGGCACGGCTCGACCCTATGAGAAGTCCACGGATACCAATGAATTCTTCTTGGTGGTGGTTAATGGTTATCAAATCATTTACTTTTTTTGTTTTAAATTTTAAAACACAATTATGTACTCTACTGAGCACAATTAATAATAGTTAATTATATTTTAAGAATTGATAATTAGCAGGTTCCTTGAGGTGGAGCTATGGCTCCTTGGCTCTTTATAGAGAGCCGCCCCTGCTGTAAACCATTGTGAATAACTGCGCAGACAGGTCTGAACAGACCAAACTTGTGTGTAGTAGCTCCAGTGGTTAATTTATCAGACTCTGCATTGCCAGTGCGTACCAGTACAAATGTACTAAATTTAATACTTTTTATCAGAATTAAGTACAATGTTTAACGTTTAAAATGGAAAAATTTTTGTAAACAACATTCTTTTCACCATAAGGCATACCGCCAAAGTATCATTATAGGTAGATGATGCTATACATATGGGGACTTATTTAAATAGAAATTTCAATATCTATTTATTACACGTTTTACAACATTTACTTTTTAGTGTGTCCCAGAATCGCGTGAGTTACAAGTTTGATTTTTAGGTATGGGTCATTGCTTCATGAAATTGGGTAATCAAGACAAAGCAAGACTAGCATTTGAGAGAGCTCTTCAATTAGATCCACAATGTGTTGGTGCGCTTGTAGGATTGGCAATTTTGAAGTTAAATCTCCAACAACCGGATTCCATTCGCAGTGGTGTTCAAATGCTGTCTAAGGCATATACTATAGATTCTTCTAATCCTATGGTTCTTAATCATCTTGCAAATCACTTCTTCTTTAAAAAGGTAAGTAAGGCTTAAACTACAATTCTCACTTGATGTTTATAATTTTAATCACACTTGTGCTATAGAGTCCGCCATGTAATGTGAAACTGATTTTAGGACTACAATAAAGTTCAACATTTGGCTCTGCATGCGTTTCACAATACTGAGAATGAAGCAATGCGAGCTGAAAGTTGTTACCAACTTGCTCGCGCATTTCACGTGCAAGGTGACTACGACCAGGCTTTCCAATATTACTACCAAGCGACACAGTTCGCACCTGTCGCTTTTGTTCTTCCTCACTTTGGTTTAGGTCAAATGTACATCTATAGAGGTGACGCCGAAAACGTGAGATTTTTACTACTCAAAGTTGAATGCTAATTTTTAATATGTAGGCTGCGCAGTGTTTCGAAAAAGTATTAAAGGCACAACCTGGAAACTACGAAACGATGAAAATTTTAGGTTCACTGTACGCCAATTCCACCTCTCAATCTAAGAGAGACATTGCAAAAAATCACCTAAAGAAAGTAACTGAGCAGTTTGCGGATGACATAGAGGCGTGGATTGAGTTAGCGCAAATTTTGGAACAGTCTGATTTACAAGGTTCGTTAAATGCGTACGGTACCGCTATCAAGATTTTGAAAAAGGATGTGCAAGCTGAAGTTCCTACCGAAATTTTGAATAACGTAGGAGCTTTGCATTACAGGTACAATTTTTTCTTACATAAAAATAGATGATGCTATTCGTACTGTAGGTTAAATAATTTAGAGGAAGCGAAAAAATATCTAGAAGAGGCACTTGTGCGTGCACAAAGCGAAGCGGAGCATGATCCCCAATATTACAATTCCATATCCGTCACAATTACATACAATTTAGCTAGGCTAAACGAAGCTCTGTGTGTGTTTGATAAATCTGAGAAGTTGTACAAGGATATTCTTAAAGAGCATCCCAATTATGTTGATTGCTATTTGCGGTTAGGATGCATGGCGCGAGATGAAGGGCAAATTCACGATGCGTCGTACTGGTTTAAAGAAGCACTGCGTATTAACAAAGATCATCCTGACGCATGGTCTTTGTTAGGGAATTTGCATTTAGCGCAAAATGAATGGGGACCTGGACAAAAGAAATACGAACAAGTATTAAAGGTGAGTAATTTTTCAAAAAGTACACAACTAGATACAGCATTTTTATTAGGAGTCGCCGGTTGTTACTTTTTTCCGTTTGTAAAATCTCTCTAACTTGATACATATAAAAGTAGATTAAATTATCCGAAGGGTAATTTAGAGTATTACCATTGAATTTATAACTATCAGAAGCGCGGGTTAAATGGCAGGATATGTGACTGTTTTCAATAGTTTAAATTACAAGACGTAGATGTCTCTACCATCGAGAAAGATAAATAATAATGTCAGTTTTTTTCCTTTGTTAATTATTATACAGGAATCTGTAATGAACCCACTACACACTGCATACAGAATTCTATTATAGATACTCAAGAAACGTATTTATAAGGCATTTATGTGGCACACAGGATGTTGAATGACGCAAGATAAACATTCTTCCTTTCATGAATCCTGACCTACTTAACATTCCTTAAGGAAGATTGAATTACATTTGAACAGGAAAGCAAAAAATACGCAGGCATCCTTGATCACTGTAACTGAAATTAAATGTACCTACCTATCTATTCTTAATTTTTGTGTGTTGGTTAAGCTACCTAGGACAGGGGTCGGCAACCTATTGAAACGGAAGAGCCAAAAATTACAATTTACAAAATTTCCCAGTTCTTAGAGCCACACATAATTTTTGATTCAATATTATAGTTTTTAGCTATATACAGGGTCCTGCAACAGTGCGTCGGTTTTTCCTACATAGCTGATAGATACCTGGTAAAAATATTGGTGGTTGCGGATCTACAGAAATTATTTTTGAATGTACAGGGTGTTCCATTTTTACGATGTCAATTAATAACTGATCTTTTTAAATAGAACATCCTGAATATTTGGTTGTTTCAATACCGTTTGTTCAAAGTGCTATAACTATTCTTTTTCAAATGGAACTACCACTATTTTATTTCGCTATTCGATTGTCTTTTGTGTTCTCTTAAATGTTTATAAGGGGTGCCCTGTGCTTAAACTCCGCAGTGTTTAGGTTATTCAATATTTTTCACAAAAGTACCTACTCATTAATTAATTACGTGTTTATACATCGGAGTAGGCTGGCTATAATAAAAAAAACAAAAGAATACCAGAAAGTAAACAAGTGTCAAAAATTAGAAATTATTTGCTGCAAGTATACTTTTGATACAAAATAAGATTAATTAAAAAGGCGAATTTCGAACAAATGAACTAATTTCTTTAGATAAATACGGAGAGCCGCAACTTTATAGGTATCAAAAGAGCCGCAGGTTGCCGACCCCTGATCTAGGTCCTAGGATCACATGTCACACCTGGCAATTTTGATACAAAATAAAAAGGTCGTTAACTCGTTACCTCTTTTCTTTTAAATTCTGACGTTTGTAATTTGTTCTCAATGGTTAATCGATAACTTATCGATAATTATCGATTAATAGTCAGTCGATAAATTTAAAAAAAATGGTCGACTAATGGATAACACCGATCAACAAAAAAAGAATTTTTTGCGCATGGGATTTACATAATATATTCTGACTATAATAAGCAATAATAAATAAAAAGTGTGATTAAGACATCGAAAATATTTGCTTTTACAAAAGTTACAGCGATTTGATTGAAAGCTTTCAGGGGCGAACATTAAAGCTGGAATCTTTGTTTTCCCTCAAAAAAAAAAAGAGAAATGGAGGGTGATATTTTTCCGCGGTTACTTAGCAAAGAGGAAAAAAAATTCTGGAACAGTTTTAAGGCAATAGTCCATGGTTTCCCGTTCAGTGTTTCCTGGGAAACCATAGAGCTGAAAATTATGACGAGCTGACAGGATTTGGTTTATATCATGGGGTATAGAATGTCTCTAAAGAATAAAGGTTACATTCTCATTTCGATCAATTTAAGGATAATATGGGAGCTTATTCGGAATAACAAGGACAACACTTTGTCAAGACAATGGAACTTAGGCACCTTCCCAAGGCCAGGAAGCTGGAAGCATGATGGAAGATCATATTTGGGGGGCTGATAAGAAAAACTTCAGTTGAACATGACAAAAACAGCAAAACTGTTCCATTTTTAAACATTTAGACTCTAAGATAAACAAATTATAAATGTAGAAACGTTACCATTTAATAAATCATGCATATGTAAGTAGGATTCTATAGGTATTGTTATTTTTTGTTTTTTTGCATTTTTTTCACACAAAAACAAATACATAACCATTTTTTGTTCTAATTCTTATTTGTGGCTATAGAAGCAATAAAAATAAGATATATATGTCCCATGCGCAAAAATGCTGTAGACCGGTGTAATTTATCGAAAATTTTAAAGGATTGGTCGATAAATCTATAATTACCGATAATCTATCAATTAATCTCACAACTAAACTATTATGATAGATAATTATCGAGAGAATATTTAACGACATAAACTTTTCAATGTTTAGGTATACCAGTTTACTTCCAACAAAAGCGATGTAAGAGCATTGTGGAGAGAAAACTTCAGCATCAAAAGATCCTGTTTTATTTAAATTATCTCTCGCAATACCAATACCAAAAAAACAAAAATGTTAGCGATGTACGCATGGATGATGTAATATATCGATTGAGTATATATATCGATGAGATTTATGAAAAAGTATCGATAGTTTTCTCTTGATAATTTCCGCTACTTATCTATTAATCGATAAATATCAGAGATAGACAATTTTCGACAAGTGGCAATAATAATCGATTATTATCAGCAGCCAACAATCATTATTATTTTAAAAAGTTATCGATAATTATAAAAAGTTATCGATAATTTTCAAACGTTATCGATCATTATCGAAAATGATCGTTACGATTTATCGATAATTGTCGATTATTATCGAAAGTTATCGATAATTGTTTAAAGTTATAGATAATTATCGATAGTTATCGATTAACGATTAATCGATACTTATCAGACTGAACAGACTTATGGATAAATCGATAACAATTTCATTTATCGCTCAGCTCTAGTAGGTGTACGAATTCACGTAAACTGGGACCGATTTATTTGTGCACAATGCTGCATGGTTATAAAAAAAGCTGATTCGCGAAATTTAGTTATCAAATGTAAATGTGGAAATGATGTAGGTGCCAACTGCCAACAATTCCACTACTGGACTGTTCTGAGGTTCATTCGTTCATTTAAATTTGCATTACCGAAAACTCCATTTCCACATTAACATTGGGTAAATTGCGCCAACTTTTTTTATACCCTGGCAGCATTGTGCACACAGCAAATAAAATTAACACATGGGTTCCAGTTCACGTGAATTCGTATTATATATTCTGCCAACGCGGCAGCAAATGTGTTGGTACGTTTTTTTCTCTTCTCGCTGACCGTTGGTTTTCAAAATTCAAATGCTTACAACGGACAATATTTTGCCCTCAAATTTTTTTTATCGTTTTTGAATAACAAAATCTCCCGCTTTCAGTAAAAATAAAAAAATGTTGAACCTGCCTATTGTACTGCCTGTGAATAGAATGTTATGAAATTGCATTCCTTCAAGGGCAAGGACTGCAAGCTTCGTTCGTCTAAATGTATTATTATTTACATTACACATTTATGCAACGTTTCTTAAGGGATCTATTTTTAGAACATTCCAATCCTATTTATAAAACCATTCCAATGATAACACAAAAAAAAACCCGTGTTCCTGACATCTAACGATTAAAAAGGAAAATATTCGAATGGGCAAAATGAATGGTTTGTAATGCTGCCATCTAATGTCAATGTAACGCTCCACTTTCGATCGCCCACAGACTTTCAAACGATCGAACTGCCCCTAGCGGCGGAAAGTTCGCATATGGTCACAAACTGTTATATGGGATCGGCGCTTCTGATAGTTATAAATTCAATGGTATTACTGTTGTGTCCAAATGTTTGAATGAAAGCATGACATGAAACCAAAGGTATACCTGTGGTACTAAAAATGCTTTTGTTTTTTGGTAGGCAACATCACAAGATCCTTATTCGTTAATTGCCTTGGGAAATGTATGGTTACAAACCTTCCAACAGGCTTCCAAAGATAAAGAAAGGGAAAAACGTCACCAAGAGCGAGCATTATCGATGTATAAGCAAGTTTTGAAAATTGATCCTAAAAACATATGGGCTGCTAATGGTATAGGGGCTGTGTTGGCACACAAGGGTACGGTCAACGAAGCAAGAGATATTTTTGCTCAAGTTCGTGAAGCGACTGCCGATTTTTGTGACGTTTGGTTGAATATAGCACATATTTATGTAGAACAGCGACAATATGTCAGCGCCATACAAATGGTTAGCACCATATAATCGGTTTGCATTTACTTACTTGTTTGCGTTTCAGTATGAAAATTGCTTGAGAAAATTTTATAAATTCCATAATGTAGAAGTTCTGCAATATTTAGCTAGAGCCTATTATAAAGCAGGAAAATTGAAAGAAGCTAAAATGGTTCTATTAAAAGCAAGACGTGTAGCTCCTCAAGATTCTGTGCTACTATACAACATTGCTCTTGTTCTTCAGCGACTTGCAACGCAAATATTAAAAGACGAAAAATCAACTCTACAAACCGTACTGCAAGCAGTACACGAGTTGGGACTGTCATTGAAGTAGAGCTTTCTTCACTTGAGATCACAATTATATTTATGCTTCCAGGTACTTTACATATTTGGCCGACAAAGAACTGGAAGATAAAATGCGATATGATATAAAGTTAGCCGGTTTGGAAGCTCGCCAATGCCAGGATTTGCTGTCACAGGCACAGTATCATGTCGCCCGTGCAAAAAGAGTTGATGAAGAGGAACGGCAACTGCGTAGAAAACAAGAGGATGAACGCACTGCCTTCAAATTACGACAGCTTGAAGAACAGGTATGATATGTAGACATTATTGCAAAATATACAGACTCAATGAAAAATTGTTGTATCAAACCTAAAATTTCGTCATAATTTTGTAAATGATTTCTTCTAGAAAAAACGTGAAGAGGAATCTAGAGCAAATAAGGAGCAACTTTTACAAAAACGTCAAGAATATAAAGAGAAGACCAAAAATGCTTTACTGTTCAGCGAAATGCCAAATGAGAAAGTCAGGCCCAAAGGTCGTGGTAGAAAAGATCAATATGTTAGCGATTCTGGAGGAAGTGACGCTGATAATGAAGGTGGCAATGTGTCGAAGGAAAGAAAATACAAAAGTGGGGATCGCAAGGACAAGAAAAGAAAATCGGGAGGCCGGAAACGGAAGGATGGAGCTCATTCAGACTCTGGCAGCGATAGGCCTCGATTCAAAAGAAGTCGCAAAAAGCATCATAGAGTGGAGGATGACGGTCTTACAGCTAAACAGAAAAGTAGAATTGTTTCGAAGGCGACAATATCTACCAGTGAATCCGATAGTGACGACAATAAACTCAAAATTGCTAGCGGTGATGAGAGTGGTGGAGAAGGAAGGAAACGTAAAAGAAGAATTTCGTCCGGATCTGACCAATCGTCACGTTCCAGGAGTAGATCTCGCTCCAAGGGTTCCAGATCACGGTCTCGTTCAAAAAGTGGGTCCCGATCGAAGAGCAGATCAAGATCTCGCTCTAAGAGTGGATCTCGCTCTAGGTCCAGAAGTAAATCAAAATCCCGCTCCAAATCAAAAAGTGTTTCGCGTTCAAGAAGCGCTTCTCGATCTAAGTCGAGGTCAAGGTCAAAATCGGGATCAAGATCAAAATCGGGATCAAGATCAAAATCAAGGAGCAGATCAAAATCGAGGAGCAGATCCAAATCTATGTCTTGTAGTAGGAGTCCTTCCCGATCTCCAAGTCGTAGTGTATCCAGAAGTAGATCACGTAGTAAGTCTGGAAGCGAGAAAGGGTCACGTGCATCTAGTCCAGCTCGGAGTACTCATGATAGTGACTAATAATCTCTCACAGTATGTTATACAATATGGTATTCCTTTAAATGATTGACTTTGTTATAATCAGACATATAATTGTAAATGCACCTTATACGAAACTCAATTGAATGTTACACAATTGAAGAATTAGTTTGTTTTATCAATAGATTGTAGTATCTTAAAAACCACAGTGATCACAGTTTTTTTTTTTAATAAAACCAGCGAGTAATACTTGAAAGAATATTATCAGATATTATCAAAGTTTGTCATCTCATTTCAACATTTAACCAAATGCATATGATAAATACTCATACATAATAAATAATAATAATAATAAATAATACCATAAGTAGTCGAAGTATTGTCGAATATGTTTCATTTGCTTCATCTTTATATATAAAAATGAACCCCTGTTTCTTCTGGGCACGCAATAACTTTAGAACGACTGTACCGATTTCATTCATCTTTTTTTTTTTAAGTTTTCTGTGTAGAAGGTTCTTACGGTAAGAAAAACTAAGAAAATCGCACAGAAAATTGGAGAAAACTTAACGACTATTTAAACATCCCGCGTTTGACGGTGCGACGGCAATTGTTTTAACAGCTACATCGATCGGCATAATGTATCCGTAAAAAAATTAATTTATTCATTTCATAGTGTGCTGTCAATTCGGTCTGATCGTTTATCCAGATTTCAGTGAGTTTTTTGAGAAGTTTCGAGGTTATTTCACCGCAATCAGGCCTTTTATATTAAAAGTTTGATATATACCTAATATCCATTTTTGGTCAGTGTTAGACTACAACATTTCTGTTATTATTAGCAATAGCCATGACTTTTGTTGTTTTCTGAATTGCTACTAGGTAATAACAGAAATGTTGAAATTTATTTATAAATTTGCGGGTATACCAAAAGCTTAATAAAACATGTAAAAACAGTTTTGTATGCACCTTTCAATTCTGAACAACTTTAAACTCTACAGTTTTTTTCTGTAAAATGTACAGGAGGGCAGGATATTGCATAAAACTAATTTCCCATGTTAAATCCCTATGTTCCTAGTTACCATGCACCACCCGGTATATACGAGTAAGTCAAACTGACGAGCAAAGCAAAGCGCGAAACGAAGTTAACGGAATCGATATGAACAACGCAGAAATGTCCCCTTTAATCCCTATCGAGTTGCATTTAATTATAACGTAGTAATCGATTACAGTTTACAGTAAATCGTTGCTATTAGACACTTTGTGTGTCCACTTTGCAAGGCTATTGAGACCCCGGGATTATGTTGCGCAGGAGCCTAGTGAAATTGACGCCATTGATACCGCCACCAGAGCCACTACATTCCTTGGTTTCCCGAAATGAGCCAGATCCTATACATTTTTTGACTCATATTCAAAAATACAATAATTGCTTTCAAATTACGGCATTTGACGCAACAAAAAAAGGTACGTTGCTAGCTCTTTGGGGAGATTTTGGGGCAAGTGTGTTAAAAGCTCTTTTCCACCTAACCGGTTGAACCGATTTAAACGCATATTCTTAAACCTGTGCTAGCCACAGCAAATTTTTTGAAATAATTTTTTGTTATTATTTATTCCAGTCCGAATTGAATAGGTATTCATACCTAAGAAAGAGGACAACGTCCGTCAGGTCAGCTAGTGATTAATATACATGGTCACTGATAATTCTGGAAAAGGTGGATTTATCGTGGAAAATATTAAAAAATGTTTTAGGGTTTTTTAACAACTACACGCTCTAGATGAATGTTAGATATTGTTTGTAAGTACTTCGGTAATCAACACCATAATAAATTGAAAGTTAAAATGAAAGGCAAAATGTATTAATCTAGTCCAGGCAAATCAGTCGACACAATGTAAAGATTTCGCTAGGGACAGAGGTCCCTTGTTGAGTTACTTAAATAAATTATAGGGTTGCTTGGATTGTTGGATAGAGCAACCAATTAAAGCATGTACCCCATTTTTGATGACTTGTCAGATTTGTTGCATTTTACTAACTGAATTCTTTCAACTAACAAAATTTGACACCTGCTCTGCCCAAACAAAGTAATTTTAGTCTATTCCAACAGTCTTGACCATACTGTAAAATTAGAGCTGAAAAATTTCAAAAGCTTAACAAGAACATAAAAAAAATGTTTTATTGAAGTTATTTTATATGAATAACAATTTAATAACTACCAAAAACATACAACATGCATTTCTCTTCCTTCACTTATACCAGTGCTTCATTTTGAAACCCCCACTAACGCTGGCCGTATAACTCTGTCATGCAATTTGTAACCTATTTTAGAAACGACAACTACAGAGCCAGGTGATTTCCCTTCCACTTCCTGCAAGATACATACAGGTAATTATTAAACAAATCTAGTTTCATGCATACTTGTTGAAATAAAGCTTCATGAAAATTTGGATCAAATTTCTCATTTAGAGGATCAACAGGCTCCAATCCATGTCTTTTAAAAACATTTTGTAACTGAGCTTCGGTCATCATTAACCCTTCGTACAAACTTTTGAGATGAGGATTTTGATCCGTTATTTCTTCTTTAGGAACGCTTTCCGTTGCTTTACTCAGAACATCGGCCACGTCTAGTAAATCCTTACAAAACCCTTGAATACCAAAAATCTTTGCGTCCGATATTTGTTTAGTAAGCCTATTTCGTAGATTTTCACCATCGGCAAGGGATCTTTTGTACTTATCCTGTTAAATATAGGTCAGTTGTAAGGGATGTAAAAATATAAGGCTTACCAATAACTCGGTATTTTTTTCGTTTAAGCTTGTCACTTCCTTGTTTAATTTGTCTACCTCCTCCTTAAATTTAGAATCTATTTGTGGGGGTGGTTGTGCATCTGTGTTGGGGTTTGTCTGTTCAGCTGCAGTATGTCTTAAACTACCAAGTGTGATGGATCTTAAAGAGATTCTTATTTTATTTCCTCTCAGAAAATTATGTCAATAGTCTTACCTTGCATTTAAAGTTATCGTATCCGTCACCAACTGGCTTACCCTGAATAAACCTCTGGCTTTCACAAGTGCCATAGTCTTACAAATGATTAAATTGTTCGTAAAGCAAGTCCAGCCAGCGTAAAAGTAAAGTAAGGTTAACGTCACACACAGCTGATTTCCCTGCCGTGCTGATTTTTCGAGCTTTTTTGTTGAACACACTGATTTTGAATTTTGAGGTTAATTTCTCACCGCTGTGCTTTAGAGCGCAATTTTTTAATAAATGCTTATAGTGGTTTCTGGTAAGTTTGTTCAAATATATCATCGAAATTACTTATTTGCAACATTTCAGACAATGGCAAAAATTGATAATATTTTACTGAAAAGCAAGTTTAGGGGATGTTTGTTAGGTTCCTTGATTGGCGATTGTTTTGGCGCGCCATTTGAAGGTGATGTTATGACGGGTGGCGGTAAAGTGATATTGCAGAAATATTTTGACAAATTGGAGGGAGCTAATTTTAAAGGTAACAAGAATTTAGTTGTGTATCCTAAATTTGATTCATATATATCGAGATTTTTTCCATGTATACCATTCGATTGGCACACAAAGAAAGATTTTGACTGCACACCAAAAATTATTTGTTTAATAGCAGGTCATTCTGTAATTGATTTGCATTAGGTATAGCAGCTATCTAAACGGGTTGTTTACTTTTATTACCAGAGTTTCCTTTTGCGCATGAATTAATTCGAAAGCTGGATTTGGCTGGATTATAGGGGAAATTAAAGAGATTCTGACTATTAAATAATGTCAATCATTGGATTAATGGTGGATTTATAGGTACAACAGAAACAAAGGTATGGTTTCGTTGGTTAACGACACACAATAAACCTTTATTTCGATTGGTTATTCTTATTTCTGAATGATCTAATGATAATGAATATATAAACCCACCATACACAATTACAGTAAAAAATAAACTAAATGACATATTTCAAAATTAAAGTAATGCAACTTAATGGGCGAAGTTCAGTTAGATTCTGCTCTTCCACTTAACCCAATCATTTAATAAATTATAACAGAAAAGATTTAACACAATACACAATGGCACAATTTATCACTCATAGTATAATAAAACCTACAATTTTCCCAGGTCCCATAAAGCAATATACTGATGACACGGCCATGACAAAATGTATAGTTAAATCATTAACTGACAAACCAGCAGTAGATTTCAAATTTATGGCCCGTCTCTTCGTCAAGGAGTATTTTTCCGACCCCAGAAGAGGATATGGGAAAAATGTGGTAGACGTATTTAGTAAGTTAAGGGCGAATAAATTCGAAGATATTTTCAAACCCGCCGAAGAGCAGTTTTCCGGCATGGGCTCATTTGGAAACGGCGGTGCAATGAGAGTAGCTCCTTTGGCGTTATATTTTCATGATAACTATCAAGCAATGATAAGGGCAGTTTCGGACGCTACAAGAATTACACATACTCATAAGAATGCAATTAACGGCGCAATACTTCAAAGTATGGCGGTGCAACAATGTCTAAGATTAGATCCGTCCGAAAAAGTCGATACGCATAAATTCGTCAATAACCTTATTGACAAAATGAGGATTATAGAAGTAGAAGATGAGGGGTATGTTTAGTCGAAAATGATTTGGTCGATTTCATGTGCAAGTTACAGGTTAGATACAGAATTTCTGGCACCCTACAAAGAAAAGTTGGTCGATGTGCAAAAACTTTTAGATAGTGCCAATGATGATACAGATGAAATCGTTCGGATACTAGGAAATGATATATTTGCGTTGCATTCGGTTCCTACAGCTATATTTTGTTTCTTAAGAGCCCAATTGCCTATTCCTAGGATTACAGTAAGAACATCGCATATCTTTCGCTAAGTGGGCAATTTCATTTTTATCTTTTTTCAGACTGATAATAAACTTAGAAGAAGTATCCAATATGCGATTTCTTTGGGTGGTGATACAGACACAATTGCAAGTATGGCGGGAAGCATGGCGGGTGCATTCCTAGGAGATGACTACATCAATAAACATTTACTTAGGCACTGTGAAGGACACAAGGAGATGTCTGAAATGGCTGACAATTTATTTGCAGTAACGGAAGACGTTGATTCTGCATAATCAGATTGCAATATTACAATTTACTTAAGTGTGTATTTGTAGCTAAGCTTTGTATAAAGGTTGCACTTATTTCAGAATGATAAGTGATTTTAATTATATTCATAATACTTTATGGTATAATTTCTTACTGTGAATGAAGTTAACATTTGAGCTAACCCCGCAGTGTTAGTAATGTGCCAGATCGTTAAAAATGTACATCCGCGGATCTGATATGGATTATTAGATCCGCGAATATGGATCCAAACGTCTTTTACAGTTAGTGCTGATTGGCGTGACCTTGAAACAGCTGTTGACGTATTTCGACTTGCGCAGTTTTCATGATTTTGTTTTGTTTATAGTTTAGTGTGACACCGGTCCGCATTGAACACATTTGTCTTATCTGATCTGATCAAGAAACAAAAAAAGAAAGATATTTAAAAGTGTTTCGTTCCTATAAGTATGTTATAGCATTGAATTTAGATTTAGAACAAGAGAGGGATAATAAATAAATAAAATTCTTACTATTTCACATTTGAGCTAAATATCTAAAAAATAGTGATGGCAAATGACCGGTAATTTTTAAAAGTGATAACTGATAAGTGGCCACCATTAATGACCCAGCATTTAAGTCATTTTTGCGGTCACTTTTAAATCTTGATCCAATGCGTTTTATATGCTGTATTTACTTTTACCTATCAAAACGACACCAAATACATGACCATTCAATAAATGTTTTGCCATTTAACCAGACTTGTAAAATTATGAAGAAAACACAAGGTCAGCGTGCAAAATAAGTTTCACTCTGATTTTTATTTTTTATTCACATATTCAAAATAATACCCTTAATACTTAAAAGTTAAAACAAAACTTAAACACTGATAGACTGCCAACATCAGACATTCTTGGTGCATGACTCACATATTGAATGCCACAAAATGTACAAGTAGCATATTTTTTTGATTTTTGGATAGGTTTTTTTTTTGTAATATTTCCAGACAATATTGTGTCTGTTTTTACCATTTTTTACGGAAGAGCTTCAAACACTTTTAGTTTTAAGCTTCATTTACATTCAATTCAAACACGAATTACTTCAATTCAGAAAGTAGTCATCATTTACATTACAAAGAAATTTATAGGTTAGGTCTAACAAAACAAACACATTTGTGTTGCTTTGGTTAATAGGTGTATTCTTGTAGAACTGTACCCTTTTGCTTGTGGGTATTGCAGGGTAATTGCAAATATGTTGTAAAAACATTTCATCATTAAAAGGTATGACCACATTTGTAAAGTCTATATATTGTCACTATCTTCAACCAACTCATCTTCAAACATACTTTTTCCTACTTTACTCCTTAAAAGTACACAAATATAACATAAGAAATACAGAAAAAATAAAACTATAACATTAAAATTTGGAATTACTAAATTGCGTGCTTGCACTAGTCAAGCTGCTTGACGAAATTCGAATTGCACTTCGGCTTACTTTTAAATTAAGTTGGTTTGTAAACGATACTGTGTGCTGCCACCATGGCACCATATGACAAGAAAGTAAATTTTACAATTAATTCAATATGGAATTGAATGTAAATGAAGCTTTACTGTTTGAAAGTTAACATTTTGAGGTTAGGACAATACTGTTGGTGAAAAAGCTGGTCACTTTAAACGACCGAGAATTTTTAAAAATGACACGATCATTTTTAAGCACTTTTGTGGTCACCTTGAGCATTTATAAAAGTGACGACCATATCACTACAGTAAAAAACAAAACTCCAGGGGTCTATAACACAAACTATACAATTGTAACAATAGTCTACAAGTTACAAGTAATCTGCCCGTAACTATAACCTATAATATAGGAGGATAGTCTGCTATAACGACAAGTCCTAATGAATTCGGAATTCGGTAGGTACCTATATGGAAATAAGTTGTGTTGTAGGCCCCAGGTGATTAAGGAAAAAATCACCCACAGAAACAATTATCATGAAATCAGAAGCATAGTAATCTTTATGATGGGAGTGGTCTCAAAAAGCTCGCCACAACCAAATAATGTTTAAATTGTGATTGTAACCGCATCAACATCTGTATACAACTGACAAAATACTAAGCAGTACAACAATGAAACAAAATGACACAAAGATTCACTAGAAATATAGCATCTGTTATGAGTACTTTTTTGAATGTACATGTACGATTGTGGTAGGTAGGTAGGAACTATTTCAACCAGCATCCATGAAGGTTTTGGTAAGACTCATATAGTATTTTATATTATAAATACAATGGTACTTACTTATAAGAGTTATAAGCTTGACTGGTGATGGACTAAAATGCTCTCGCTCCTTGTGTCGGCATGGTCTTTCAAGTGGACACGTCATAATGCGCGTACTTATTTGTGAGCACTAATTAGTGCAACTACAGCTAATAATACACTCTTAAGTGTCTCCTCTTTCTTGCCACGTATGACATAGGTATACCATCCATCTTGAAACCTTTGACTTTTCCATGGTAAGGTTAACATTCCTCATAATTACGTGAAGAGGAAATTGGCAATTAGTAGAATTTGAAATAAATGAAATATTTGATTTCTGTTGTTGTGACGGTTGTAACGGCGGATGTTACAATGAATTCGACTCCAACGAACCTCTAATTCATTTTAATATACGTCTCAATTCAATTGAGGTGTTATGTAATTATATTAAATATGTTCCGGCTAGCTGTCCTCTTCTGGCTTCTTACAGAGAAGGGTAAATGGAATAAGCAGTCAATGATATTTATTAAGAAATGAAACGGTTCCTTTTTTAGAGTTTTGTAAAGCAAATGATTAAAAGTTCATTTGTAGAAACACACTTCACATTGATAAGAAATATTCAAAGGTACTAAAAGAGAATGAATTGTATTTTCATAAACACCCTGTATAATTAAAAAAAAAAACAAATACCTAGAAGAATTTTCAGGCGCAGTCTAAAAATTATACCAGCAAAATGGGGTCCACAAACACCAAATTGATGCAACATTGCAAGTAGGAGGTTAAATAGTCTTTACATAAATGTACCAGATTAAACAGTGCTTGAACACAAATTTCTTTCCACTATTAAATACAAGAAACTAAGATGCTAGTTGAAACATACAACACGGCAAATAACAACAATGGCAAAACGACGACGCAATAAAACGAAAATCGTTCATAAATACCGTCAATGTTCTTGTACTCGCAATTATACATGAGCTCCCTTCTCTTTCTCGATGCAGAATGCAATAGGTTCCATCTCCCACTCTTATTTTAAAAAAATTGCACGGACCGGCTACAGAATCCGTAGCTTTCTTACCCCACTCGATCAACTCCTATTCTGATACCCGACCCACCATTGGCCGAGCTGTTTTCCGCTCACGAGCCCTTTTCCGCTCCTGAGCGTTGTTTTCGCTCGTGAGCGCTTTTAACCGCCCTCAAACGCTGAAGGATTAAGCGCCGCTCGCGAGCGTTATTTCCGCTCACGAGCACTTTTCCCGGGCACTTGCGATAAACCGCTCGAGCACTTTTAGCTCGGAACTCGCAAGCGGTTTCGCTTTGCAAAACAGCTTGATGCTCGCGACCATTTTTGAGACAATTAGAGGGCTCGTTGCTTGATTAGTTTTTTAGAACGTTCGACCCAGCTCTGCTTAGAAGTCACTGTATAAAGGTCATTTATGGAAATCGTTGAAAACTGTGTCGGTATATCAGTGTTTAAATATTGCAAATTTATCATTTAACAAATTTATTGATTAATCAAGATTATTACTTAAGATGTAAAAACATTTAATTTCCATTATCTTACATTCTTATATGAGCAATATACAATTTAACTCAAATAAATAAACAAAAATGCAAAGTAATGACAATAGTCATCCTTTTTTATCATTCCATCCACTCTAAATCAGTAAGATGCACTTGTGAAAAGTTGGTATATCACTTTGCTTATAATAGCCCCAACTTTTTTGTTTACCTTCCCGTGCTGCAACGTTGCCAATAAGTTTTGGCCAACACTTCCGCCTTTTTCTTGATATGCCATATTTAAATGTCTAGGCGTTGGATATTGTTCCACAATTGCTAGCGCTTTGTCAACAGACATCCCTTTCAATTGTAACAATTGCCGTATGAATAGTTCTTGAACTTTAAAATCCTGTACACAAATCTCATAAAATGGACATATACGTAGCATATAATAATACTTACATGAGTTTTAGAAGCTCCTTGATTGAACTCTGTGAACGTCATCAACGATATTAAATCATCATCCACGTTTACCTCAGAAAGATTCTGTTTGGGGCAGCTAATAAGTGTTTTATTCTGGAAGTAAGAATTGCTGCTTGCAAATACATAATTAACCAAAAGTAAATAAGTACCCGCCAATAAACGTAGAGCTTTGACAAACACAATCATACCAGTTTAGCCGCCCAATTTGAAAAATGTGTGATTAATAACTTTTGTAATTACCTGTGGAGATATTTTTTCTGGAAATAATGCTTTTCTGTCCAAAAAAAACACTCAGGCATTTTTATTCTATATTCATTATTATTCTGTAATTCTACGACAACTTATTAATTCAGACACACCTATTTTACTTAAGTCAGTTTGTCCTAAGGTTATACATCCTTACTTCTACTTCAACTATATAATTGCATAATTCAAACCATACCTTGTAAATATTTCCTAAGACTGAAGTAAAGGTGGCAAAATAATTAACAGTTCCTCTAACATCGTCAGTAAACTTCACATTAAAACCATCTTGGATGTAAGTATTCGTTGCGGCCTGATATAAACTGCCAATGGGCAAACCAACATGAGTATTTGATCCATGACTCTCAATCAAATAAATCACGTTTTGTATACCACATTGCTTTAGCCTAAACTTTTGTTCGTGGAATCGACCATCCTTTATACTGTGACTTAAATCGTCCATTCTTTTCCTTTCAACTACATAGGGTAAAACTAATTCTTGATTCGTTTCTTTATGTCGGGCGATCCAGGTATAGTCTCCTACTTTTAAGTGTCTCGATTCAAACAGTACGTCTAAATGTGCCAATTCTGTAAGGGTTGCATTATCTAGTGGTCCGCTTGAATTCCTACAAGTGATTGTTTTGATTTTGTAAGAAACCGTAATAAAAATAAATCACGCTTACCCTGTGGTTTCTTGTTTATCAACCAACAATATAATGTCAAAAGTGAATGGGGCAAAAATAAATGAATCTTCTTGAGTACTAGTACTCGAACACGATGGAGCTTCGATCTCCTTATCTAACTCAACATTTGCATCACTCTGTACCACATTAGTTTTCTCTGCACATTTTGCATTAGTTTTCTTTGCAGTCTTGACTTTTGTGGAGCTTTTCTCACTATTAACATTGTTCTTCGGTGGTTCTCCAACTTGATTGTCCTTTGTTGAGTACAATTTATGTGCGAGAGCAGCACCTTCTTCCGTTAATGAATACTTGGCGGGATTAGATCTTTTAATTACTAAATGTTTATCGAGCAGTGTTTTCATTGATGACCATGCCGTGTAGAAACTTCCTGGATCTGGTTTAACAAAAGACTTATCTGAAAGATGCTGACCACCTTTGATAATATCAATTTTAAACATATAACCGCAATAAGAAGGTTCCAAACTTTTCTCAAACATAGCAATTAATATAGCATAGGGACCAGAACGCCACTGTGGTACATATTCCCTGCCACCAATGGAATTTTTTCGGTTTGTTGCTGCTCCACCTTCTACGTTACTGTTTAGGTTCTTATTGTGTTCCACTAACTTTTTATCCAACATACTGCACAATTTTTCGCCAAAGCCTTTTAGTAGTTTACAGTCTCTTCCAGATTGCAATGGCAAGGGATATTTTCTTAAAGATTCCAATGCTTTCCCATAGCAATTTTGCATCTTTGAATTAGTTTCAATTGCCTTATCTCTCCATTCAATTAACCACTGTTCAAATAGAGGATTTGGGGTCTTCAATTTCACAGTTACTCTTCCGCTCATATCTGTAGTAAGTTGCTGCAAGGTAGAGTTGCTGAAAGACAGAGCCTGAAAGACAGAGTCACAGGAGATAATTGCGAAAAAATACTTCCACTACCGTTATTTATTTTCTACTGACTTAACCAGTTAACCTAACTTTTTTAAATCCTGTATTACCGGGTCATTGCTGCCAAATTAACAAAAAAAATTATTCTTCTTTTCTTATATATACAAGGTGTAGAAACAGTTTATGCACCATAGCGATTTCAATGTAATAATATAGGTACAATGGTAATACCATATACATACAATGGTTAAGGTTAATCAATGATTAAAAATAATAATAATAATGACATTTTCGTACTTCCGAGACTAAAGTGACAACTTCACTCCATTATGACAAGTACTGAAGTGTCACTTTTTTCCCGCCGGGATTAAATTTGGACGAAAATCCCGGAAGGATGAAATTACTAACAAGGCAATTTCAGTATGTTGTTCCACAATTTGTATGCGGCACTACTTCGTAAACGCATCGTGCTGCTGCTCATATAGTTTTTTGGATTTCGGTGGTATCAATTCTTTACCTACTTTGGCTGCTTTTTATCAAAATGAAATACACCTTTGTCACCCACGACCAAAATTGTGACACTAGCAATGACAGTTTCCAAATTATTTTTGTTACCATAGCATAGGGTTTGTCGTACCAACGCAACGTTCCTATGGTAACTTGTTAAGGAGCGATTTTTGAAAGAACGCGTTCTCTAACTCCATACATATTAAGTGTTTCCGTTTCGGAAGTATGAAAAATATCGTATATACCTTGCGACTGAAGCAGTGGTCTTAATCCGTCAGGTAAATTATGGCCCTCCCTTCGGTCGGGCCATAAACTTTACCTTCGGGATTAAAAATGCTACTTCAGTCCCGCGGTATATAATATACTATTATTGAGTTTTAAGTAAGACAGTATTTTAACCCAATATTAGAATGTTCGCCACCTTTGATTATACGCGCAATTGTCTCCATTCTAATATTTTTAATCAGTGATTAACCATAATCAACGTTTGTGAAACCGGGCATTAGAGTAAGATTCTTACTCTACTGGGCATTGAATAAAAAATGTTTTATTCAATGCTCTGAGGTAGCATTGTATATGGAGGTAGTAACCAAGTGGTAACATACCCCTACGGTTAGGCAACCCACCTCACATTTGAAAGAATCACAATAAGGGAAAAATAGGAAATGAGCTTATGTAATAGCTGGTCGTGAGTATTTTATGCAAAATGTAAATAATAACAAATTGTGACATGAAATTCAATGGTTAATAGTTAGTAAAAGAAAGATTATAATGTTTAACTTATACTTTTAAAGCAAAACAAACAAAATAAACATTGAGAAAATCCGGGAACGCGTGATGCACGTTCAACGCCATTGCCATGCCCAACCATAGACAAAACAAATGAATTTTGTATACCATCACAGACAACATATACTACAGACGGCCAATCTTAAGGGGAAAAAGCACGCTAAGTTTTGTGTCAAATGTCCCCTTATTTAAAAACCTGCTATCCCTCTATTTTGCTCCATCTATTAGCGCATACAACAATGTGTTGATTCTTCTACAGATTTCTTTTATTGGAATGGTTTTGCAAATTGTCTAGGGAAAGAAGTATTGATACTTTTTTGTTAGAAAGCTGTCCCACAAGAAATCCCCATAATTTACATCTGAGGCGAAGTGCTGATAATCTTTGCAGGTACACATACAAAGCAAATATCACTTCATATTCGCAATTACGTATTACTCGTTGTCTTTGGGTGCATAAGAAACGATATAACTTGCACCACTTTTCGAATTCTCGAAAAAAGTGTAATCTCCGTGTTTTTTTTATATACCTACGTACTCTACTTGCCTACTTGTCTCTCCGTTTGTGGAATAAATCTTGCAATCAGCAATTTAACTTCATTTAACTTGGATAAAGAAAACCTAAACGTAAGCAAATTTTCGAATGAATATTTGCCTCATATGTAATAAATCCCATTTGAGGTGTGCAATTTTCGGTTAATTACAGCGGTAATTGCATTGTAGAAAACGAAAGAGCCCTGCGATAATTGTACATTTCATGGGAATACACTTAACAATTTTATAAGTAGGTAAGGTGAGTTTGTAATGTTTATTCGGGAAATATTCCCCCGAATTACACTCGTGCATCAAAATAATCCTGATAATTTTTACCGCATTTTCCAACGAAGTTGGGTGCACTATTGCAGCCACTTTCTCTGTCCGTCCGTCTGTCCGAGGCCTTAACTACTCCCACAGTTTTTGAAGATATTTAGTTCGTTCTTTTTGCATTCGGTAGCGTATCGCTCTGGCACCTGAGTCAAAGAAAATCTTGACGATTGAACTGCGCAATGTTAACCTTTTTATTTATTAATATATTTTGTTGAAATTTTAATCACAGATACTTGTAGTAAAGGCAAATACATCGCATATAGTAAAAATCAGATGTGCGCATGCGCAGACTGCGCAATGCAAACTTTCTTTATGGAGATATTTCTTTGAAATTTTAACCAAAGATACTTATAGTAAAAGCAAACGTAAGTATTGCATTTTATAAATATCAGATTAATAAGCGCATGCGCAGGACGCGCAATATCAACTGCGCAGTGAGTGTCAACTTCCTTATTTATGAAGATATTTCTTTAAAACTTTAACCATATATGCGTCTAGTAATGAAAAACGTAGCGCACATAGGTATGGCCTTTGGGGAAGTATTGATCAATTTATGGAAAATACGCTGAAGTTACACTTCATAATTTGTTAAAAGAGCATTTTGATGCACTTGTGCAATTACCTACGAAAATTGTCACAAAGCAAAGTTTTAATAGCGATCCTCGAGATGGTTTATAGTTTTATATCTATTACCTACTGTCTGCCGGTTTAGTGTGTTGTCACTTCACTCAACGAAACCAATGTGTATTGTATGCAAAAAAATCCCCTGAATCCGTAAATGACAGTCTAGCTGACCGGAAACTCCGGGAACATATTGCTATACACAAGTAAACGAAGAAAAAATGGGAAAATGTCGTTTTTTCGCATTTAATTAGGTAGGTATCTCGTTAACTATTCCTCTTACGGAAAAAATGAAGAGAACGAATTTGTTTAGGATCGATTTTTGTATCAGATACAGTTGGTATGATTTTTATTAAACAGAGTGCCAAGGGTCTATTATAAAGTTACTTTCTTGTTCTATTTCTGGCGTTTCCACTAAACTAATTCCACAATCCGTCGATTTGCAAAACTCATCGGGACAACAGACAATTGTTGGAATAGGTTGTTTTACGGTTCCACCATCCATAAAAATATTGAAAACGCTCTGGGAGTCATCCAGTTTGAAGAACAAAGCATCGAGAAGGGCGTATCAACAAAAACAAAGTGCTCGGAATGGAAATTTTCGCCGGAACGCAAGCATCAGCCCATCAGGAGGAAGGGGGGAGGGGGGGGGTAACATAGAAAACATGTACTACGTACATTAAAACAACGAGAAAACGTAACAAAAATTAAATGTTTCATTTTTATTGTTTCCCTTGGTGTGGAGACCAGTGGATACTAATGGGTTTCGTGTGCTGGTATGATCTGAAGGACGTATTTTCGTTTCCATGTGATTTTTATCGCATTAATGACAAATAATCCAACAATATGTAGGGTTCTGTAAAATTTTTTTGTGTGCGGGTGGAGAGGATCTGACGCTGCGGTCCCTTTACGAAAAGGAACAGTGTACAAATATTTTCGACGAAACGGAACGATATTGTAATACTTTTTACCGTTCCGGACCATTCCGAGCCCTGGTACCAACTGAAAATTCGATTCTAAACAAATTCATTTCTATGAGCTCGAGCGACGAGATAATTGGAAGTCAAATGCATTTCATTCATTCCATTTTTTCTTGTTTTTTTTGTTGTGTATAGCAATATGTTCCGGGAGCTTCCGGGCAGTGAACTACATAGAATACACTTGGTTTCGTTGTGTGAAATGCCAACATCCAGTTCAGAATACTTTTGGAGCTAATTTGACTGGACTATGTTGACCCTACACATTGACATAAAATAAAGTTCGTTAAGTGCTCCCTCCCCTAATCAAAAAAATTTGTGATGGTATTATCACAGATACATATAGGTAGGCAAGGCCGTGTGAGGGGGAGGGGCGAGAGGGGCCCAGGCCCTGGACGCCAAGTCTGGGGGGCGCTGAAGTCGCCCGTCGTCGCCTTCGTCGGGAGCGTCAAAGGCGTGAGTGAAAGATAATAATAATAATAATAATATATATTTATTCTGTAAATTGCAAAAACACAATTATAGAAACGTCAAAATAATACATCACAATATAACATTTTTGAATAACATATAGACACAATAGACTAGCGAGAACAGATACAATTGTAAATATAAAATACTATACTGCACTCATAGAGCCCATTCCTGAAGTCTGGCGTCACAAAATTCCATGAACTCTTGCACGTTATAGAATGCATTTTGTTGGAGAATTGATTTTAGCTTTTCTTTAAATTGTTTGGTGGCACAGATTGTAAGGTCTTTCGGTAGTAGATTGTACAGTTTCGTGGCCATATGGAACGGAGATCTTGTATAGTATGTGTGGTGATGCCGGTGGCTTAGGATCTTTTGTTTGTCTCTAGTATTATGTTGATGCCAGAGACTTGCTATAACTAGACTGCGCTTAACGTATCTAAGGTGTTGTCGACACAGTATGCAACACACAATGCACCGCGGGGCAAAAATCGCTGAGATGATATGCAATATAATGAAATAAGCTGTTATTTTAGATGTTCCGTTCATTAATCATTCTCGTGATTAGCTCGAATTAGTGAACAGATACATTTCTGTTGATAATAAACCAATAAACTTAGGTTAACTTGTGCTTATCAACATGTACTCTGTCGATAAATTTTTAAATAATATGCTGATTTTCAACGGATACAAGTTTAAAGGGCCAATGGATCAGAGCCATTCGAAGAGAAAAATTTACTCCCACCATAGTGCATTTGCGGGGAATGAAGCCGATTTTAGAAAGATACCTACGAAGGTGTTAAAAAATAATGCAATACCGAGCGTTTTCGACTTTCCCATTCACTTAAAATAACGTAGAACTATTATTCGACATCCTTTACCAGC